TGCCAAATACAACTATTGCTTGTTCCAGCAGTTTCCAATGAATAAATGTATTGGTCTGATGCAAACAGAATTCCATGAAAACATTTTGTTTAACAGAACTTGATACATGGACATCTAACCCTTAATCTGGTCACAGAATATAAATCCTCACATTTCCTCTGAGTTCTGAGATCATTCTTATGACTAGACCTAGTACAGAACTATATTTAGCAGATTCATTCCCATCTATTTTGTCTTTTATGTTGTGTTTATGAACAGCTGTGAAGTTAAATGCTGTGAGTTGTATAGGCTTAATTAATACTTCAGTTTGGAGTGGAGTAAAGATCTGCTCTGACAAGAGGACTGGGATTGGTTTAGAAACTATTGATATGATTGCGGCAAGAGTTTGGCAACCCATCAAAACTGCATTTATTCCAGGCACCTGCAGAAAATATGCAAGCAACTAGATTATTGCTAAATGTCTTTATCATTACCTAATGTTATTTAGCTAGCAAAACAAGATTAATCAAGTAGCATTTTACTAGAGAAAATAACATTAATTTGAAGCCCAAGGCTGCTAATTTAGAAAGACATTACACAAGCTGCCGAAAGCAGCTTCTGCCCAATGAACTGATGGAGCACAATTGACAAGGTTGTGTGTGTGCCAACTTGGTAGATAACTTGCTCTCTAAAGCTCTACACTTTAAACAGAATGAATGGACCAGCACTCCTGGTGACTGGCTTTCTTTTTGATCGACTGCACTAGCCATCGGAGAAGCCAATGCCATGCTTAAAAGAGAAGGGCTCCAGCTGAGAACCCTTGCTAAGCCTGATGTGCTCAAATAATTTCCTATGACCAGCAACTGCAACCACAACTGCAAAGCAAATGATTCTTCTCCACCACACCCCTTCTCTCCATTTCAGGGAAAGGTCATAAAAATGGCAAAGGTGAATCACAGAAAACAAGTAAAAAGTGGTGCAATTCAGGGGTATAAAAATTCTTACTTGAAATATAGAGCCATGATGTTTGCAAGGGAAGACCATAAGGTGGCATTGGTGATAAGCAGCTCAGTGAAAATGTCAACGCTTAGTGTGGCTGCTGTGAAAAAGCAACATTCATGTTGAGCATAATTAGGAAATGAATCAATAACAAAATGGCCAATGCCAACACCTTTCCACAAAGATATAATGCGACCTTATTTGGAATAGTGTTCTGGTTGCTTAACTGCAAAAGAGATATTGAAGATCTGGAAAGAAGACAATAAAGGTCAACCAGAAACAAATGATGTATGCGACTTTCTGGTCTATAAGTGTGTATGTGTGTGTTTGTGTGTGTGTGCACACACATGTACCTTCAAGTCAGTTTTTGACTCCCTGCAGTTTTCTTGGAAAGTTGTTTGCCATTATCTATAAATCATCAAAACATATACAATGAATTTTGTTGTTTCAACTGCAATATTTACTATTACAATATATTAAAAAACTGAAATTCATTGTTCTTTGGATCAATGGTATCTAAAAGTGCAAAACTGCATTTACTGAAACATGAAAACACCACAATAAACCATTAAAATTATTCAAGTACAGTCTTCAATACCTAGATTTGGTTTTCATTTGGTTAACATATTTCCATCTATACAAATATCTGAGTGTAAAATGACAGGCTTGCTTACCAACTGCCTTATTCAGTGACTGTTTGAAATTACAACAGTGCTGAAAAATAATTTATGACCAATGCCCTCATTTACAATCTTCACAGGGATCATAGTCATATGATCACTACATGTTTTCCTGCGCCTGACTTGTTTTTTTCTTTCTTTCCCTTTGCAGAGGACAGAGATAGGAGAGAAAGGGTTTACAAGAGAATAAGCAGGCACGCAATGGGGAATGCACATCAAAGCAATGCACTGGTGCTGGCAGCCATGAGCACACTACACAAACAGCCTCTGGTATTCCCCATTGTGTGCCTGTTTATTCTCTTGTAATCTCTTCCTAATGAATGTATATATAAACATTAATTCCTTTCAACATCCTAGAAACTCTGTCCCCATGAACCAGTCACCAAAACGTTGTGATTGGGATGGTTGATGGTTGATGGTTGCCTGATTGCAAAGATTGCTCAATTGAGAAAGACCTGCAGACATCTAAATCAAGGAGTCAAGATGAAAACTAGGTGCCTGCCACAGTCCAGAGATATGCAAACTCAGGCAGGACTTTTAGAAGCAAAAACTCCTTGGTTCAGATTGTGACCAGAAAATCTGATAAACAAAAGACAAATCCAAGGGAAAAATCAAGAGAAAAATGAGAGGTAGAATCCAGAGTTTAAAGTACAGCACAGCAAGGAAAACAGGACAGAGCTGAAGATGGAAAAGTTGTTCTCAAGATTTTCTTTCAGAGAGGGAGGTCAATAAATAAGCCACACTGCTCCACCACACAACTGAGGGACCTTACTTATTGGACATTCTCCTGCAGCCAGCTTCTTGGCCAATCTATCTGCATTTGGATCTTTAAGAGACATGTCTGTTTGAAGTTGGTTGGTGAACTTTAGAGTCTGAGAGACTGCTAGAGGGTGCAGGCAGGGAGACCTGAGGGCTTGCTGGTTGCTCAGCCAGGGTACAGCAGAAATATTGTGGAAGCTTCTGACTCTACTTCCTCCTCATCAGAAGATGGGTCCAGCAGGGCTATGTGACTCTTAGATTATGGCTTGCTCTCCCTCTAGACTTGTCAAATGAATACAGAAAAATCAAAAAGATTATTTCATTATTATGTTATGTATGATTGGTGATATTTTTTCATATAGTTGACTTTCATGAATGTTGCTGATCAATTGTATTTTATGATATTACATATGTATTTTGAGTAAAATAGAGTCAATAACTATTTTCAGGAACTATGGAAAGTTGAAAATTAGGGGAATCTTATAGTATTTTCCCCAACTAATTATTATTAAAAAGCATAAGCTTTAATGAGTTTACTTCAACAGTTGGATGGGTAGTTCAGATTCCTGATTGCCTGGTTGCATCCCATAATCTGGGCATCTCTGTCAGAAGGGACAAGCATTCAGGAGTTTGAATTACCTACCCAGCAAGAACAATAAACAAATCCATACAACCTGATCACATCTATTAAAAAGTACATCACACAAAACCAGAACATCATTGGTTGCCTTATACACGTCATAGCTCAAATACTCAATAATATTATTAATAAACTACAACCCACACCAAAGAATGATACTGCACTTTCTCAGGCACTGGGTGGCTGGCTAGTACTTGCATACAATTACTCAACCTGAAGCAGATTCTCACAAGCTACAAGAAACAACACAACAAAGATACCAGTATGACAACCAGACTACTTTCCCCCATATTTACATCATCATTGGTCCCAATAAATTCAGACACCTTCATATGCTCCTTCCTCTAATATGATTTATGCCAAAATCTGCAAGCGATGCCCCTCTGCATTCTACAGAGGACAAATGGGACAGACTTTGCACAAAATAATTAATGGATGCAAGTTTGACATCAGGACACAAAACAAGGACAAAATAATACAGCAACATTTCAATTACTCAGAACAATCAGTTGCAGCTCTCAAAACAAAAAAAATGAGACTTTAAAGCACCATTGAATGAGAGACTGTCAAAATCACATAAGTATATAAAAATATTCAAGCAGTACCAAACAGCCTAAACAAACCCAGTGGGTTTTTAACACATTACAATTGTTAATTGATACGTTACTTTAATCTGTCTCACATGTAACCTGTATCTTGCATAAACAAGCTATCTTTGTCTCCTTTCCCCTCTCTCCAATTTATGTCCTACATCAGTCTAGCTATTTCATGATCCGATGAAATAAGCTGCAGCCCATGAAACATTATGCCTTTTAATGAAATGCGTTAGTTGTAAAAGATACTACTGGACTTCTGATCTCCCTCCCTCCCTCCCTCCCTCCCTCCCTCCCTCCCTTCCTTCCTTCCTTCCTTCCTTCCTTCCTTCCTTTCATAGGCTAACATAGCTCTCTTCCTACAATGTCATGGAATGTGGAACATCCATTCAAAAAGAAAACTCCAAAGTAAAAGGAGAGGATGGGAGAAAGGAGACTAAGATAGTATAGCCAATTAGAAATGCTATGATGCATTGTTGTCAAATATGTGGATCCAGGGCCTTTGGTCCTTTTTGCATCCTATTCCTGGTATCTCTGGGAAGAGTTAGGAAAGAATCTTAAGCAAAACCTCACGGCCAAACAGAATTGACAATACCAGTTCACTGAGTCAATTCTCAGGGTCAAAATAAACGCTTCACTATGTTCTTACATTCTCCTGTTTCCCCAAAGTGTAGCTCATAATTTTATTAGAGATTAAATAAAAACTTCCAATAATTAAAGAGCCAAGCAATATAGCAGGTCAGGACAAGGTGGTTGTATTCACAGATTTACAAGTAATTTGTGATGCCAAGTAATTTCTGCCAATATGCATATATAAAATGACCTCTTTAAATGTGAGGCTGTTGTGCAATATTAGAGACAGATAATAAATAAATACCATCTGCAGCATTTACCATTGTATATAAATAAATGATTCTATCCACAGCCTAGAAATTGTGGTCTGTAATCAATTCCATCTCCTTAATAACACATAAACTCCAACTGTTTAGCCTTCATTTGTTTTGATAATGCTATACCTCATAAAAATCTTCCTGCAATCAGTTTGCCAAAGCTGTGGAATGTCAATGAAGTTCTCTTTTCACCCAAAGGGGAAAAATAGGTCCCTTTTTGCTGCAAAGGCAGGATGAAACATGCTGTTAGATCGGCGCAGGGAAAGCAAGACGCGACCAGCTCTGGTCCAGTTCAGTACTTTATTCAAGCACAGGAAAAAGACAAGTGGCTGGGCTGCCGGAGCTCCTTTTATACGCTCCGGCAGACTCAGCCGCCCACTGACAGTTATTTGAATCTCCCGCCGGAGGATTAGCCAATCCCCGGCGGGTGCCCATATAAGGACATAACACTCCTCCCCCCTTAGTCTGAAAAATGTCCATCACAGTTAATATACGTTACGAAGTCACGCAAGTAGGCGGGGTGCCTGCTTGCCCGAGATGACCTGCGCAGTTCAGTCTGAGCTTCGCCGCCGGCCTGTGCGGGCGAAGCTCCTGTCCTTCCCGGCTCCCCGGTGGGGGTGGCCGGGGCTCCGGCCGTCGAGTGTGCGGGATCCGTCCCAGCACCTCCGGCCGCAACATCTGGAAGTTCGCGCTGGAGTCGCTGGTCCTTCCCTCGCCTGGAGAATCTGGAACCTCGCGGCGGGACAACGCTGCTGTCCGGTGGGTGCCGTCCGAAACCCGGTAAGTCCGTTGGTGTCTCGTTGGGCTTCCGTGGCTCCCGTCGCTGTCGCTGTCCCGTGTGGTCGACCTCGCCGGGGTGGTGTTCATCCCCGCGGCTGGGTTGGAGCTGGTTGGCTTCGCAGGGTTGGTGCTGGCCGACCTCGCTGGGGTGGTGCTGTTCGACCTGGTCTGGGTGGTGTGCGCCGTCCTTGCTGGAGTGGTGCTGGTCGACCTTGCAGGGTTGGTGTTGGTCGACCCGGTCTGGATGCTGGTTGGGGTCTCCCTTGCCGGTCGGTCGCTGGCCGGCTTGGGTTGCGTGTTGTGCGCCTCCCCCGTGTGGTTGTCCCCGGTCTACTTGCCTGGAGCGTTGGTCTCCCTGGCAGGGCCGTTGTTGGTCCTCGTCGCTGGAGGGGTGCGATCCTCCCTCCCTGGGTGGGTCCCAGTCTACCCCTTGATTGTTGTGGCGGTCCCTCTCCATGGAGTGGCGGATGCCCACCTTGCCGGGTTGGGGATGCCATCCCTCTTGTGACAGGTCCCGGTCTACCGCTCTGGATCGCCGCTGGGTGAGTGCATGGGAATGTGCTTGGCCGGCCTCATCGGGGTGTCGGTGGCCTGCCTCGCCTGGGTGTTGTAGGCCTGCCTCGTCGGGGTGTTGTAGGCCTACCTCGCCGGGGTGCTGTAGGTCTGCTCTGCCGGGGTGTTGCAGGCCTACCTCGTCGGGGTGTTGTAGGCCTACCTCGTCGGGGTGTGGTAGGCCTACCTCGTCGGGCTGGTTTCCTTCCGATCCCCTCCACCTTTTCCGAAGCTGGTCGATGTGCCGTCTACAGACCTGTCCATCTTCCAGCTCGACTCGGTAGGACTTCGGGCCGGTTGTGCTTTCTATTCTCCCCTTTAGCCACTTCGGAGAGCCGTTGAAGTTAAGCGCAAACACCGGGTCTCCTATGGTGAAGGCGCGGAGCGGCCGGCTGGCCGTTGCTGTCACTTCAGGATTATACTGGGGGTGCAGCCGGTCCAGGGGTGACCTCAGGCGTCTGCCCATCAGTAGCTCAGCTGGGCTCTTCTTGGTGGTGGCATGCGGGGTGATGTGTTGTGTAAGGAGGAAGTTGTCAATCCTCTCTTGCCAGTCACCCGGACCCATCTTGGTGAGCGTCTCCTTGGTGAGTCTCACCATGCGTTCCGCTTGACCGTTTCCGGCTGGCCTGTAAAATGCGGTGAGGGCGTGGCGGATGCCCTGTCCCGCCAGGAACTCTTCCATGGCCTTGGATGTTAACTGTGGGCCATTGTCAGAGACTAGGACATCCGGCAGCCCGTGTGTTGCGAATAGGCGCCTGAGTGCCCTGATGGTGGCTTCGGAAGTGGTAGATGCCGTGGGGATGACCTCTAGCCACTTGGAGAAAGCGTCCACAACGATTAAGAGGTAGTGCCCCTGCATTAGACCCGTGAAGTCAATATGGATCCGTGCCCATGGGCTGCTGGGCATCTCCCACTCTGACACTGGGGCTTGGGCGGGGGCGGGACGTACCTCTTGGCACGGGTCACATCTGGCGACCCACTCTTCAATGTCCTTGTCCAGGGATGGCCACCAGACGTAACTCCGTGCCAGTCCTTTCATCCTTACGATGCCCGGGTGTCCGTTGTGGAGCGTCTCGAGCGTCTTCTTCTGTAAAGCACTGGGAATCAGCACCCGGTCTCCCCATAGGATACAGCCTTTCATGGTGGACAGCTCCTGTTGCTTCCATGCGAAAGGGCTGAACTTTTCTGCCGGTTTTTCTGCTGGCCAGCCTCGCAGGACCCAGGATCTCACTTGCTTGAGTATGGGGTCCCTCTGGGTATGGGTGGCCACATCTGCTGACGTCACTGGGCAGTCTCTGTCGGCGTCGATGTGGAGGAGGCTTATGGTGGGTGCGGGGTCTTCTACTGGCTCTTTGGATGGGCACCTACTCAGGGCATCTGCGTTCCCGATGGTTTTGCCGGGCTTATGAATGAGTTTGTATGAATATCCGGCAAGGAAGATGGCCCAGCGTGTCATCCTGGGCGACATGTAGCCAGGTGTGGGTTTGTCACCCGCTAATAGTCCCAAGAGTGGCTTATGGTCCGTGATGACCGTGAAGTTCCGGCCATATAGGTACTCATGGAAACGTCTGACTCCAGCCACAATGGCCAAGGCTTCCTTGTCCAGCTGGCTGTAATTCCTCTCGGTGCTGGACATCGTTTTAGAGAAGTAGGCGATGGGTGCCTCTGATCCGTTGGGGAGCTGGTGGCTGAGGACTGCGCCAATCCCATATGGTGAAGCGTCGCAGGTCAGCAGCAGAGGAAGCGTCTCGTGGTACTGGATCAGCACGCTGTCGGAGGATAGGAGCCCCTTGATGGTTTTGAAGGCGTTTTCTTCCTCTGTTCCCCATCTCCACGGGACCGCTTTCCCCAGCAATCGATGGAGTGGCTCAGCGGCTGTTGCCTTCTGTTTAAGGAACACCGCATAAAAATTTAGCAATCCCAAAAATGCCTGAAGCTCGGCTTTGTTTTTGGGGGCTGGAGCTTCGTGGATTGCCCTGACTTTAGCTTGGGTGGGGTGGATGCTGGTGCCATCTATGAGATAGCCCAGGAACTCGACCTCCTGGACTCCAATGATGCATTTGTCCCTCCTTACTCTCAAACCCTTCTCCTTGAAGTGCTGCAAAACTTGTTTAAGTCGCTCAAGCAGCTGGGTTTTTGAGTGCCCGGAGATCAACACATCATCAAAGTACGGCACCACCCCTGGAATGCCTTGGAGAAGGCGTTCCATCATTGATTGAAAAATGCCTGGGGCTGCGCTGACTCCGAATTGGAGGCGGTTGCACTTAAATGCGCCCCTATGGGTGACAATCGTTTGCGCCTCCGCAGTTTTTTCATCCACTGGCAATTGCTGGTAAGCCTGGGCCAGGTCCAGTTTTGCAAATATTGTCCCACTCCCAAGTGAATGCAGCAGGTGTTGCACCACTGGGACTGGGTATGCGCTCTGCGACAGGGCCTTATTAATCGAACATTTATAGTCGGCGCAGATGCGCACAGATCCATCATGCTTCATGGGGGTCACAATGGGTGTCTCCCATGCTGCATGATCGATTGGTTCCAACAGGCCCTGGGCTATCAGCTTATCTAGCTGAGCATCTACTTTGGGCCTCAGGGCAAACGGAACTCTGCGGGGCTTAAGCCTAATGGGGGTAATTGTCTTATCAAGATTAAAGGAAATGGGCTTCCCCACAAATTTCCCCAGCTTACCGTCGAAGACTTCCTTGAACTCTTCGAGGAGGGTGTCGAGTTCGTCCTGACGAATTTGGTTAACCCCTACTATTCCGAGCCCTAGTGGCTTGAACCACTCCATGCCTAGCAGGGTTGGGCGGTCGTGCTCGACGATGGTGATGGGGAGGTTGCCTTGGAATTCTTGGTAAGACACGTGGAGCGATGCTCTTCCCAGGACTCCGATGTGGTTTCCTCCGAAATCCACCAGCCTGGAGCGCAGGGGTCTCAGGTCTCTCTTGCGGACGTCTGGCTTGATGCGTTTTAAGTTTTTCCAATCCATGATTGAGTAGATGGAGCCAGAGTCTACTTCCATGGAGCATGGGGTCCCTTCGAGCAGCACGGTCGCGTGGCACTTGGTGGCGGTGTCGTCGTCGTCAGAGAGGTGTATTGTGGTTTGGGGTACTGCTCTCCTCCAGTTCCCGTCGCTCTCACCCCGTCTGGATTGGTAGGAGGATCGTTTGGATGCCCTCGCGTTGTCCTCCCGGTTTTCGCGAGGGCGGTGGCTGGAGGGCTCTGGGGCTGGTTCCTCAGCTCTGCACGCCTCTGCAATGTGCCCTCTCCTGTTGCAACGCCGGCAGGTTGCGTCTCTCCATTTGCAGCTGGCTCTGGCGTGGTCCCCTCTGCAGCTGGCACAGCGCTCCCCCTTGTAACTTTTTTGGGCGGTTTCCCGCCTTGGGGGTCTGGATACCTTGTGTACGGTGGATTCCTCCTCCGACTCTGATCCCGCTGTGGAATCCTCAGTTGATGATTGCGTTGTGGAGCGAATCTTGTGGATTCCCTTTGCTCTGCTTACTGCGGCAGCCGCTCTCTCCGAGATTTCGGATGCGGTGGCTTCCTCCACCACATCCTTGAGCACGAGTTTCTTCCTGCTCAGGAATTTCTTTTGCAGGCCTCTGTCCCTCATGCCGAAAACCACGCGGTCAGCGATGGCGTTGTCCACATGATCGAACTCACAGCTGGCTGCGATTTGGCGCAGGGCAGCCACGAATTCTTTGATGGTCTCACCTTCCTTTTGATCCCTCTGATGGAAGGTGAAACGGTTCGCCACTGGTGTTCCAGTTGGGGCATAGTGTTCTTCCAGGATCTGTAGCAGGTCCGTCCATGGCACTTCTTCGATGTCTCGTGGTGCGATGAGATCGATTGCCATATCGAGGACTTCGGATCCACAGTTAGCCAAGAAGATGCCCTTTTTCCGGTCATCATCGGCATCCCTGATGTTGTTTCCTCTCAGGTATTGCCGAAATTTGACCACGTAGGATTTCCACTTGTCCTTCCCTGGGCGGAAAGGAGCAAGGGCTGGCAAAGTGACTTCAGCTGATGTCATGCCTCTGGAAATCCCTACAAGGTGACTCAGTTCTCAGTGACTTAGCTCTCTGAGGTTGGCTTGTGCCACGAGGTTCGTCGCTTGGTTCAGTTCCTTCGTCGCCAGTGTTAGATCGGCGCAGGGAAAGCAAGACGCGACCAGCTCTGGTCCAGTTCAGTACTTTATTCAAGCACAGGAAAAAGACAAGCGGCTGGGCTGCCGGAGCTCCTTTTATACGCTCCGGCAGACTCAGCCGCCCACTGACAGTTATTTGAATCTCCCGCCGGAGGATTAGCCAATCCCCGGCGGGTGCCCATATAAGGACATAACACATGCATTTTAACTTTGCCCAATACCAGAAATCCATAAATTCATCGATGCAGCACCACCAACAAGATGAAATGCCATCATGTAGAACAGTTGGTAACATTTCCACCCAGTGCTGCTGCTGCTGAACCCAAGGATTCAGGGTTGGCTATCCTGGGCTTATAAGAAAATTTGACCCTGACCATTTCTCAGGCCTTATGCCTCTGAGTAGACAGCAAATATTTATCCATCAAAATACAAGCCAAATTCAAGAGTTTAGGAGTTTTTCCTGCAAGACAGTGCATTTAGGTAATTCTTAATTAAAGACAGAACTGCAGAACTCAATGGGAAAAAATTGCACATATGAAGGGGTAGAGTCAGTGGTGAAATGTAAAATTTGTTACTACCGTTCTGTGGGCGTGGCTTGGTGGTGGGGAAATATGACTGAGTGGGCGTGGCCAACTTTTTTTAAACTTTTAAAACAATTTTTTTCTACAACCTCTTCGGCCAAAGAGGTTGTAAAAAATGCTTTTAAAAGCCTCTGATGATTAGGCAACTCAGCTAGGATCGTCAGAGGCTTTTACAAGCATTTTTTCTACAACCTCTTTGGCTGAAGAGGTTGTTAAAAAAATGCTTTTAAAAGCCTCTGACAATCCCAGCTGAGTTGCCTGATCGTCAGAGGCTTTTTTTTCTTTTAAAAACATTTTTTCTACAACCTCTTCAGTTGAAGAGGTTGTAAAAAATGCTTTTAAAAGCCTCTGAGGATCAGGCTTTTTTTTCTTTTAAAAACATTTTTTCTACAACCTCTTCGGCCAAAGAGGTTGTAGAAAAAATGCTTGTAAAAGCCTCTGACAATCCCAGCTGAGACGCATTATCATCAGAGGCTTTTCTTTTCCTTTTAAAAACATTTTTTTCAGCCAAAGAGGTTGTAGAAAAAAATGCTTTTAAAATTTTTTAAAAAGCCTCTGATGATCACGTGGCTCAGCTGGGCATGGGGGGGGCAGGGATTTTTGCTACTGGTCCTCCGAACCACCCGCCACCATCGCTACCGGATCGGGCGATCCGGTCTGAACCAGGAGCATTTCACCTTCACACAGGTAGTCCTGAAAATGCAACTGTAACAGAACCTGCCCAGTGGTGGATTTCTACCGGTTCGCCCCAGTTCGGGTGAACCGGTAGTGGTGCAGTGGGAGGCTCCACCCACCCACCTGGATGTCATCATGGATGCTCTGCACATGCGCAGAAATGCCGCACTCAAGCACACTCACAGTTTCGAACCGGTAGCGAAGGTAAGTGGAATCCACTACTGAACCCACCCATTATGGTCACTTGTCATTACAGCTATTAAGTTAATTTTTAATTTTTTTTTTAATTTTCTGAATTAAACTATGGATATATACCCAATATCTCTTTTCCTTGTCCTAGGTCCACCACATACATTAAAAAGTACCTTCCTTACACTTGCATTTCCAACAAATATTTGAAGCACCCTTATACACCTTTGATACAGTGGTAGGTTGCTCCCAGTTCTGTCTGGTTCTATAGAACTGGTAGTAAAACCAGCGGGAGGCTCCACCCACCCGGCACAACTTCATCATTGGTGATCTGAACATGCACAGAAGCTTCCTGCTGCGATCCTGCTGTGAACCGGTAGTAAAGGTAAATGGAACCCACCCCTGCTTTGATAGTTTATCTGGCAACAAAGGCCACCATCATTTTATAATCTTTTTAAGATGAGAATTTCAGTCTTTTAGTCTACATATTTTCCCATTGCTCTAACATTATAAGCATTTCTTGCCCACTGAATCATGCAATTTTTAACATATTCATTTTCTAGGTTTAAGTGTAATAATATTTTATAAACCTTAGCTATAAGATGTTCAGTGGTACAGAGTACCATTTCAAATTCATTTTTAGCAGCTTCAAAATTACAATTTTTTAATCTAAAGTGAACCTTTCTTTTAACTGTAAATAGGTAGACCAATGACACATACGACCTTTTAGCTCCAAATCTTCTTTTGATTTAATAGTTGGTTCACTTTGAATGAAGGATATTATTTCACTATAAATTCACCAATTAGTGTTCACTGTCCTTTTCTTCCTAAAAGGAGAATGGGCAAAATTTTCTGATTTGCATAGATGGTGAGAGAGGG